GTGCATGATAAATATACTTGAGTGTTTGTATGGTATGAGCCTTTTTGTTCAATAGATCTACACTACTAATTATGTATAATATTGAAAGTAGGGTACACACACACACATTTCTCAAATTAACTTTACTTTTACACATTATTTTAACAAAGTATACACACAAAGTGAAATCAGCAAGCATTTCTGATTGGTTACAACTCAAGAACATTTAGGCGCTTGCTTATTGGATATCCGCTGTAATATTTTTTAGAGACGGACGGGCACAACACCTTTTTGACTAGCTATTCAGAGATAATCGATTGAATGACGAATTCTAACTTGGAAAATAAGGCAGTAAATTATTCCGATCTTAGAAGTGCAACGGGTAATACCGACATCACACATCTGATATATAAATATAAATATTTCTTCCCACACATATATATATCTGAATGATATGACAGACTGTGAGCTAAAGCCGTAATCCCCAAGTGGGGTGATATCTACAGCTTCATTGAAATATCCCATTGATGGAGCAATAAACTATGAAGTGGCCCGAATCTGATTTCGACATATCTTTATATACCAAGCATGTAGGCGATAAAATCACTGAAAAAAATCTATTATTGATCTACAGTGAAATGTTCAGGTTGAAAAATCCCAGTTAGGAATAAGGCACTCAGCAATGAGAAAAAGCTCACTCATAACTTAGTAGTTTAAGAGACAATGATTTAAATTCACAGTTATTTGACTCTGGTTCTGAGTGGTGTAAAAAAAGCTGTACCGTTAAATAACTTCACCTTAAGTGATATAATAAAGTATTACTTATCCCTCCCTTGCCAACAGACAGATCCAATCTCTAGACTACGAACTGTTATTCGTGATACCAAATGATTATTCAAGCTGAAATAAGTGTGAGACATTTTTTTACTTCACGTTCCTAGTGGAACATAGGGCCTCAAGCTAGTGGCTTGAAGTTTCTGTAGGAGTGTTTATTTCTACAGGATGGGGTTGCTAGCCTCATGCCCAACCTTTCCTCTTTACCAGCATTATTTCAGGCTTAGCGAGGTAAAGGAGTGTGTTGGCGGCCGGGGATCGGACCCCTGACCATGTACATGGTCGACGAGCGTCCTAACCGCTGTGCCACCGACGCACAAGCATGAGACATGTGCTACCTTTAAAATGTACATACATATAAGAGTGTTTTTAAGATAGGCAAATTTAACTTTCATTATTTTGGTAACTAAAATGAAACACATATAAATGCATAAACGAAGATACATGAGAAAATGTCTATGACCGGATCGAAAAAAAAATGTATTGAGTGACAGATGTTTCAGCGAATTGTACTATCAGTACAATTTAAGTCAATCACTGGAATTAATTCTCTTCAATCACTATTAGCCTTTTTACACTATATATATATATATATATATATATATATATATATATATATATATATATATATATATAATTGCTTTCGTATAGACAAAGCCCAACTAGACGTAATTATGCCCAAGTGCTTGAATATACATTCGTCTCACTATTCATATTACTACCCTCCTCCTCAGTATTACTGAAATAGCATCAGACACAAGAAGACATCATTAGAACACTAGTTTGTTAGTCCTTTAAAAAAAGGGGGAAATCAAATACAAAAATAACTCAGCTGTTCGTAAAAAGTGGTCTTTGATAAACACTAGATAGAAGATGATTGTCATCGACTGTCTCTTCTAGACTGTTTAGATTGTTATCTACAACTGATTTTCTTATTGTACTGTATCTAACCTACCACTTCATTCGATGAATGTCGATAAATCTCTTTTTGCATTGGTTGACATCAAGAAAACTTTCAAGTTTACTTTCGTCTGCAACTTTTAATCCTAAATTTTAGTTATTAATCTACTTCAATATGAATTTTTCCATAATGTTTTTGTCTTAGGACAATTTATTCAATTAAAACAACAACAATAATGAGACTGTATTGATTCCAGTTTGGAAACAATAAGGTTTTTTTCATTTTACTCCCTTCTTTCCCTGTTTATATCCAGAGATTTATAGTTAAAAATTGGTAGGGCTAGCAGAGTTTTAGTATACCATCGAAGATTATTAAAAGAAGAAATCTAAATCCCATGATACCTTGATTTTTATAATCAGAAATAATGTTTACCGAAGATAAAATGGGTGCCAATAAATGTGTACTAAAAACTTTTTTTTTATTTAGTTGTGACTATACAATGAACACTGGATACAATACAAATAATAATCTGCTGACAAATCTAGAAATAACTTAAGAGTTCCTTATAAAACTACTTACTCACACTGAATAAACCATCAGTCAGTATACGCAAAATTAGAAATCACAAAGAATCAACAACAAATATAATAAGTGTCTTAAATCATCAATGCGTTCCTTCTACCGAAGTATATCATCATCATCAGAGAACTACTTGATTTAATAAATGTTTTCTTTATCCATTAATATAAGGTGAATCTGTAGTGGTGTGATACAGACTATGTGTTCCAATGCAATATTATTCTCACATATTCCCACAGTTCAATACTGTGTTAGCAACAGAACACTATGCGCGTTGAGGTGGCCCAATGCGACAGCTTGTCTTTCGCGTTCTGGCTGAACAGTTTCTTGAAGGAAAACGTCAGTCGTAGGCTCGCGGCGAAGTATGTTTTCCTCAGCGATTTGGAGAGGCGTTTGCGAAGGATTTCTGCTTCGATGTCACCTTTGAATTCTAGATTAAGCAGAAGTATTTTCTTTGGAACGGATTGGACTTGCTCGTAAATCTTAGATTTGAGATTCCTGTCTATGAACCTGGGCGGGAAACCGTTTTCCATCAGGGTTTTCCGAAGATTACGCAGTTCTTCTTCAACCACTTCCTCGCTGTATATCTTGCGAATCCTCGACGAAAGAGTGTATATCAGGTTCCTCTTTCTGCTCAGGGGCACGAAGCTTTGAAAGTTGATGAATTGTAAGTTCCATGTAGGCTTTTTGTATATGGACCTTTTCAGGGAGTCGTCGTCGTTTCTTGTCAGATGGACGTCGAGGAAGTGGAACATTCCGTCGGATTCAGTCTCAAGTGTAAAGTCGATGTTTGGGTGGGCATTATTGAAGATTCGAAGTACGTTTTTTAAATCACAATTCTCATCACAAATAATGAAAGTATCATCAATGTATCTCTTGTAAAGATGGAAGTCGTTGATAGTTTGTGATAAGGCGTTGTTCTCTAACCTAGCCACTATGCATATTTGAACATTCTATTTCATGTCATTTAATGTAAGTCAAAATGACACGCTCAGTGATTGGTTAAAGAATATAAACTGTAGATATATAAACAGCGGTTTGATCAGTTGGAAATATACCTGGGCTTCCGTGTCTTGCATTTTGCTGTTACAAATCAAGGGAATTTACTTTTTTCACTTATCCAGGCAGGGTCGCTTCAACTACAAACAGCATGGATGAGGAATGAGCAGGATCGGAATGACAAGACAGACCTACATTATTCTGAAATCAGCGTGAAAATCTAATGCATTCAGCATAAAGAACAAGATTCGAATTTTCAACACTAATTTCAAATCAGTTTTTTATGCGGTTCCGACCCCTGTCACGACGCATACTACCAAAAGCATTTCCATCAGCCTGTTGCAGACTTTTATCAACAGCTGCCTTTGCTCCATACTGAAGATCAGGCGGATGGTCAGAAAGAAGTGGCAACAAATAACTCAGGAGATGAACTAACCAGGAACCTGATGCTTAGAAAATGTAACACGGAAAGTGGAAATTCATTGGACATATACCGGGTAAACAGTTGAGTAGCGTCACGCGTCAGGCAGGCCTCGAGTGGACCCCAAATGGGAAACGATGAGTTGCACGTTGATCCGAGGGTGACACACAGGAGATGAGATGAGAGCTTATGGGCAACCGTTAGGCCAGCTAAAGAGGACTTTAGAGAGCAGGATGAAATTGAAATGTATTGTTGAAGTTCTATGTTCCACTCGGAACCAAAAGAAATAATAGTAATAATAAATCAAGAGGAAGGAAAACTACACTAACATAAGTGTATCTTCTGTCCACAAATTTCCAATATTTATATCAAATACAAAACAATTGAATAGAAGTATGATTTTATACTCTTCTTCGAACTATCACTGAACAACTACGTTCCGAATACTCACAAGCTAATCATGACAATAACGAATTCAAGAGTTGGTTTGTAGGGATTTGATTGGTTGCAGGATTTCATCATGAGCTGACATTAGTTAGAGAACCATTGGTAAACCTGGGAGTACTGGACAACTGTTTATTCCTAGTTTGTGACCCTTCATCAGTACGCACCCACCGCCAGGGTTCGAACCCAGGACCTTTTGATTACAAGGCGAGCTCGTATACCATTTAGCCACTGGGACCCGATCCAATGGCCGGCCCATGACAAAGTGAGTTATTGATCATTTATAAAAATCACATATAAATCATTTCGCTGTTTTTTTTAAATGTTTTATTTTTACCATTCAATTCCTTTTTTTATAGATTCCTTTAATATTACATATCTTCAAGTGTTAGTTTGTAGAGATTTGATTGACTTCAAACTTGATTGATTGCGCACTGATATCAGAGTTAGAGGACTACTAAAAACCAGGGGTGTACTGGGGCAGCTGTTTCATCCGTGTTTGAGACTCTTCAGTAATACGCGCGAGCAATTCCACTGGGAATTGAACCAAGGACATTCAGGTTACGAGGTGAGCCTGTTAACACCATTCAGTCATTGGGACGGAATCCAGTAGTAGCGCATGAACTCTAACTACTGTCCAGTATATAACGATAAATGTTATGACAAAATAAACTAGCACTTATTAGTCCAACTACACTGCCAACAACTTATTGTGTGTATGCAAATTAATAAGTAATTCGATAATTTAAAAATAAAAACAAGACAAATTAAGCTTATAGTACAGGTCTACATTAAACTAGAAGGAAATATATTGCAAAATGTTATAATGAATTGTGAACTCACTTTACCAAGTATGCGAACAAGTAATGAAAATTCATCAGCTAAAATAAAGAAGAAAGAAGATAAGTAAAGATTAGAGGAATTTGACATATATATTTTATTATAATAATATCATGTCACACATACAAACAAACCATACAATTGGTGTGTACAATAATAACAACAACAAAAACAAAAACAACCTTTATATCAGTGATTACATCTAATTGCCCTAAACATTATTTTGACGATTCCCACGACTGTGATACAGAAGGAAAATGATTAGAGAGAACAATTGTCTCCGGTGTCTTCCTTTCCAAAGCCTTACACTTATAACATATAAGGCAATACAATCAATAAATACATAGCCGGTGTAAGCCAATGCAATAAAGTAAAATATTTTATTTTTTGATACAGTTAGTGAAATGTGAAAGTAGTGAAGGTCAAATTAAGGTGATATAGAGCTTCTAAACAGGCTGGTTAACAATTTTCTTGGGACAGTATTATCAAAATAATAATAACACTAAAAGTTATTTCAAGGCATGTACATCAATACAACAAAAGAAAGCATGAGCAACCCAATGTACCAGGATAATATAAGCTCATCTTTTATTATTTCTACGATCCTTCTAAACTGGCTACAACATGAACAATGCTCAAAAATATAAATTACATTGAAGATTTGAATATACTTTTTGTATATGTATATTAAACAGTGCAACTGCATGCCATATCTATTGGACACTAGTCTTTATTGTAGACAATGTGAAGGCGTTCAAAATAATTAACAGGTAAAACAAACCTAGTTTATTATGTTTTACTCAGGCAACTACGATCAAACCAATAAAAACTAAATCTCTATGTACGCAGAAAAAGACAATGTCGAATCATGCACTGTCTTGATGATAACAAAGTATGCAATTTTGTTGCGTCATCTTTTGTCGTGTTTAGAAAATTATATTTAAAATTTATCTAAGCATGACATACCCCACGACCTTTATTTCGCTATTTTATAAGAAAAAACACTTTTGTAGTTACCTAACCTATTGTATTATTTTATAATGTTTCTAGTTAGGCTTTCCTTCTGATCAGGGAAGAAATTCCAGAACTCTGCCTCTTTGTTTCCAGGTATACTCGTCTAATTATCCTATAAAAATAATCATTCCTTCTAACTCCTAATTATTTAATAGCTTACATCATTCTGCACCTATGTTACTCTTAGTTCCTATTAATTAATTATACCTTGTCATGGAGAGAAAAAGTATGCTCAAATCTTTCAAGTAATTTATATTTTTGTATTGTTCAGCTTGTGGTCAGTTGAGAAAAATCCTCGGAATAATAAAAGATGAGCTTATATTCTCCGTGATGCACTTCTTGTTCTTGCTTTGTTTAAGGTTATTAATGGGAAGAATGATATGAAGTTTTTAAATAGAATATGAACCTGTAAAATAATATTAGATAAGTCCCAAAACTAATTAGCAACATTTTCATAGTGTGTATTCACTGGTAAATAACCTGTGGAAAAATTACTCATTCACAAGTAACTTTTTTAATTGTCTAGAGAATTACTGTCGTCTCTGATTTTATACTTTAACTCCATGAGCTGAATTCTTAAGGAATTATTGCATTCTCCAAGCTGGACGATTAAACTGAGAAACTTTCGTTGTCTTCCTCGACATCATCATCATCATCATCGATACCAACTTCAAATGTTGACCTTATTATCGAAACTACTGAAGAGTTAACAATAAATGGAAGTAAATAATATCTCCAAAACAATAGATATCCATTGCGTCCGATATTTCAATAGTTTTCTGAACTAATTTCCACGAAACACAAAGTTCAATTAAACATAAAATTCAATTAAATTAATATGACCCGCCGCACAAGAGGTGGCTATCGTAACCCAAGTGGTCTAATGGATAACACGTTGGCGTTTGAAACTATGGGCACTGAGTTCGAGCCTCGGTGGGAACATCATCACCCACTGAGAAATGCAGGTACATCCAGCTGACCACGAGTCCCAAATAGGACGAAATTCGCATCCTGGATTCCACTGCTAGTCACCATTCACCAATTAAATACAAACATAAAGTACGTTAAAAATACGTTTTCCTTAAAAACATAGCTGTCTAAATGAGACATCCGGTTTTCAGCTAGTTGTTGGCAAGATTTAAATCTTTTCATATCCCTCTAAACTTTGATATCAGAGTATTATAACGTGCATTTATACTCTAATCACGGCCTCTTAGGCTAGAATGCAGAATACAATTAAACACATAACTGTAATGTAGATTATTTTTGCTAACATACTGATTCCCCTTTTTTAATTTTAGGTAGTTTGAAGGTGACAAGATATTGTATAATGAAACAGATTTATTTAGTTCTAAAATCCTAGTATTGAGTCCTGTTTATTTAAAGTATATAAATTTAACGAATAAAGGCATACTAATATCAACAGTAAAGCTTTTTTTCATATATGTATTGTTTAGATATCCCTTCTATACTACCGCATAAAAGAATATAACTTCAATTTTAGTTGTCAGTATGTCTATCAATCTATCTTTCAGTTATAGCGCACAATACAATGAAAGCATATTTTTTGACAGATTGAATTTTCTATCATGACATATATATACATATATAACCATGCAGCCTACCCCCATTAAGCATTAAAAAATACTTGCTCGATATAATAAATAAATAGATTACAGGGGAATAAGAAACATAAAATTGAAGAAAGACTATTTGAATGAATCACAAATGTCAGAGATGACTTTTTTTTTACTTATCTTAATTATACCATTAATATTTTTTCCTTTACCTAAATACTTGCAGTTCATCTGCCCAGAACAGATTTTCCACATACCAGGCTATGAGCCATACTTATTGTGGCAGAGCTGGTGATGATACTTCCTAGACGCCTAGATTGTAACAGGTGGAGCACAATTAAGAACCTGCAATCCACTACTGGCTAGAAAGTTGAATGCTTAAGTCAGTGAGCAACATTTTCACATTGAATACTGACTGGTACATCAGCTGAACCATTTCAAAGATAGATGGTCTATACTGAATAATTTTGTTGCCTTCAGTATTTTACGTTCTTCACTAGTCGAAAACTGAAGATATTTAACCTCTATAGATGAATACATTATTTTGAAAGTAATTCAATATTCCGTGTTTCTCGAAATTATAAGTATGATATATACCCGTGTGTGTTGTATGTACTAAAGATAATTTCAATATGTGTGATAAATGTTCAGCGAATTCTTTTCCACAAGGCGGATGGTTAACAAAAGTAATTAAAAATCAAGGGTGGTTATAAATTAATCACCCTAGTAAATAACTAGACCTTTTATAGGCTGAAATCTTGTTTCAAAGGATAGAAAATAAAGTGACAAGTTCTAATATGAACAATCGGGTATAAGTGACTCAATGGTCTACGAGCTCGCTTTGTAACCAGAAGGTCCTGGGTTCGAACTCCAATGGGTGCGTACTGATGAAGAGTACCAGACTAGGACGAAACAGCTGTTCAGTGCTCCTAGGTTTTCCAGTGGTTCTCTAAGTGATGTCAGGTCACGATGAAATCCTCCATGCAATCAAACAAAGTCCCTACAAACCCAATACTTGAAAATTAATTAAATGACCATCTATTGTATGAAATATTATTTTTTCTTTGTATTGGGATATTAACACCAGTGGGATATGTGATACCCTTGGTAATTACAGTTGCTAGGATAGCCTTTCTACAAATCAAACTTATAAGAATGAAATGGCTTTATGTATTTTGAGTTTACTTTTCAATTGTTATAACAATTATCAAATACACTTTTATGTAAAACTGTTTCACATAGCCTTCGATTACCAGGCTGACATACTGATGATTGAAGATAAGATGAAGATCTGATTCACAGCAGGAAGACAACCAACTGTCTCTAGATTAATACTTCAGTGCTCTGCTGACTAATATAGAATGCCAATCTGATGGAACAAATAATATTCCTCAGCTGTACGTCTAACATTGTCACAGTAACCGCCCAAACAGACCCTCTTGTATAAATAATTCCTAGTTATCCAGAAATAGAAGAGCAAAGTGCTATTGGTTGCCTTTCTAAAATAGTCTTAGATTAATAGTCGGTAGATTATAAGGCTAGAAACACGGCAGTTACTGCTTTTGAATCCCGTCCAGGTTTTCATTGCATCCTCAATGATGATCTTAACATACTTAAATTTAAAAAATCTTTGAAGTCTATTTGAAAGTGGACAGAGATGAATGATAATCAAGAAATTAAAGTTGATAACAGAAAGAAAATTTAAAAAAATGAACTGAAAAACGCTTTAGAAAGTAGATAAATAAAGCAAAAACTTATCAAATTAACATTCACATATAACAAATTGAATTATACCACAGAAGAAAATATGTTAGATAAATCAGAAGATAAACATGAATAAATAAAAAAAGCGGACTGAGTTAAAACTAACAAGTCAAAAAAACACAACATGGGATAAAAAAAATTTCATAATTACGTCAACATTTAACTAACAGAGCAAAGTTAGAGTAATCATATTCTAGAATCAAATTCACAATTTGTAAATTACACAATTCGAGGTGAAAATTCATCACGGTTTCCTCTGAAAACCTAGAAATATTCAGAGAAATTGAATTTGAGCACTGTGAAAGAGTACATATTATCAACTACCATGATCTGATTATGAACAATAAAATGTGCTTGAAACGTTATCAGTAAGCAATACTGTATCACTGTGAGTTTTAACCAAGCAAAACTTTGCTATGATGGAATTTGGAGACGCAATTATATCACTCATGAAAAATTTTATTCATTTCACTTTATGCGAAATATTGCACTGAAGATGCTATCCAGAAGGATGACGAAAGCTCAACAACTAAGAGCTCAGAGAAAACTATTAATTGGAAATCATCCATCTGATCTACAAATCTTCTCTATTCTTTCATAGTAGTTATTATGTGCTCCCAGTCATAGTCATGAATCAATTACGTCTGCATATACGTGTAACAAGTCTAAATATTTTTGATATAGTT